CCATGAGCACTACGGTATTTATAACGAATCGTGTTACACGCGCATCTCACCCGATCAAGACTCCGTTTAAAGTTTGCTTCAAGTCGAAGCCAGACTTGTCGTATTTGCGTGTCTTCGGCTCGCAAGGAAATGCGCACATTGACAAAGTCAAACGGCAAAAGTCGGATAAAAAGGCCTTTCGATGCATGCTTCTGGGCTACGCACAAGGTGTAAAGGGTTATTGTGTTTGGAACTATGATTCTGAACGAGTGGAAATTACGAGGTCCGTGGTATTTAAAGAGCTTCCTAAGTCACGATATGTGGAAGTTGCCATCGGCCAAGAAATCACTCAACATGTGCATCAATATGACGACGACGATGATATACAGGTATAATTACTTCACGAGTCAATTGAAAATGATTAAGAACCTCTGGAGGTGGATCAAATCGGCATTCGACCAATATCACCTCCTAGCGAATTTGAATCTGAAAGTTATCTCCTGACATTGCTCTATGTCCGGATCCCACTTTTGAAATAGATGATGTCAACGTGGAGCCGGTTGACGCGAATATGGATGAATAAACCACGCAGGCCATTGTGCATGGCGGTGGAATATCCCATATCACCGATTTCTCGGAGATTATACCATCTAGATATGGCGGACACAATGATGCGACTGCGTTGACACCTAGTTCGTATTCTCAAGCTATAATTCCACTATGTCATTCTGAAGCTGTCGTACCTGGACGTAGTGATGATGAAGCAGACCGAGCACCAAAACGATATCGCATTGAATATGAGCAAGTAAATGCGGCGCTGGAAGCTCCACTCACATATCAAAATGCAATTCGTTCTCCTAAAGACAAGATGTGGAAGAATGCGATTAAGAGTGAATTAAACGCACTCCTTCAAAAGAAGACATGGAGTGCAGTGAAAAAAATTCCGAGTCACATGGTTTTTGGAACCAAGTGGTTTTTTGCCATCAGCCGGTCGCAAACATGAACTCTGTTCGGGTATTTCTTGCCGTGTGTTGCCATTTTGGCATGATCATAAGACAGTATGTTGTTAATACAGCCTTTTTTAATGGCATTTTGGAAGAAGATTTCTATATATCAACGCCTCAAGGTGTCGGCATGGACCCGAGTCAAGTTTTGAACTAAAAAGAATTTGTATGGCTTGAAACAGGCTGCTGCAACATGATTTAAGACAATTTCAAACGTGTTTCGAAAATGGGCTTTGTGGCATGTGTTACAGATCCGTGCGTTTTGGTTCGTCGCAATGGAAACCTTTCGTGGATTAACGTGACACTGTACGTCGACGATATGCTGCTTGGAAGCACTTTTGCTCCTTTAATTGACAAAGTTGCCGATGAACTTGCGAGTCATTTCAAGTTAAAGACACTTAAAACGTGAGATTTATTCTGGGCAAAGAGGTCGATAATGCGTAGCAGACAAAGAAGCTCAAGATCAGTCAAGGTGCATGAATTGACAGAATGGTCGTCAAATTTAGTCAAGTAGGAGCGAAGACGGTCAACAACCTAAGTGTGGAAGGTCAAATCATGCATAAGTGCAAGTTAAAGGACCCAAAAATGGAAAATCGACCCTATCGATCTTTAGTTGGATCACTTCGATACGTGGCGACAGGTACAAGGCTCGATTTAGCATTTGAAGTGGGTCGGCAAAATTAACATTTGGAAAAACCAAGTGAAGAACACTGGAATGCAGCAATTTTTGTGCTGCGCTACCTCAAGTCGACTGCAGCGCACGAAATTTGCTCTCGTTGCAAGCCAGGTGATCTCAAGTTAAGTGCTTTCAGCGATGCTGATTGGGGCAGCGACAAAGATAATCGACGTTCGACATCTGGAGTCATGGTGATAATATATGACTCTCCAGTCATTTTCAAGTAGAAGCTCCAAAGCAGCGCCTCACCAAGTACTGCTGAAGCTGAATATGTGGTACTTACGTTGTGCATTCAAAATATTTTGTGGACCAAGAGTAAATTAATGGAGATGAAGGTCAAGATTGACGCTCCAGTCGTCGTGTATGAAGACAACCAGAGCTCGATTGCAATTGCGAAAAAAGAAGGATATCAAAGTCGAGCGAAGCACATTGATATTCACTAACATTTTGTACGCGATCAAGTCAAGGCCAAGGTGATTCAGATAAAGTATATTGAATCCAAGTCACAGCTCGCTAATTTCTGACAAAGGCGATTTCAACCAACAAGTTCCATTTTCTCGTGGCGAAGACAAACGTTGGAGACTTCTAGTCGAGGAGGAGTGTTGATGATGTAACCTTTGTGTACGCTCAAATGACTTGATGACGTTGGAGCATAATCGTTTCAAAACGGACATAGAAAGTGAAACATCAGCAGTCGGTTATATGAAGAGAAAACGACCCAGGCGAGACCATCGTAGTGCTTCTACGATGAATAGCTAAATTCATGTGCAAGTTTTTTAAAGACTAATATAACTTCCACTTTACCCTCCGACTCAAAGTTGTCTCCTCTGCTATCGAATATCTTTACTTTCCACTAGGAAGAAGTTTATTTATAGCCTCCACGTCCACCGAGCCGCATTCAACGTTAATGCTGATGGCGCGGAGCATGTGACGTTACTGGAAATTTAGAAGCCATCCGTTAGCAAAGTGATGGTGTCGTCAGAAGTATTAAGAAATTAAGCAAGCTGATGAGCCTTCGCACAGATGAGATCCCCAATGATAATCAAGACGCGGTGTTGACATTGCAGAACTTAAAGAGACACAGCTTCTTTCAGTAGACGATGTTGAAACAGTCGCTGTCGCTTTGCATTTAGGCTGCTTAGATCAATATTTATCAGATTAGACCGCGTTCGAAAGATCTTGCTGATTGATGCCTATGACAGCGTTTTAACAAGGCTCAACTCCACCGTAGCCCATTTGGCCAGTACCTTATGATATAATCCTGGGTTTTCATCCTTGTGAATGCATATTTGCTGACGTTGTCCATTGGTAAGACGGATCTGCGGCATTTTATTCTGCTCAGATATCATACCGACAGGCAAGACACGGCCGTCGAATGTATATGTGTGGCTTTCCCTGTGTAATAATTGTTAGCTCAGACGAAAGAGGCTATGGGTGCGTCTCATACCTTTGGGAAGGTTGCAAACGAGCCAGGAGCTTGAGACTTCTGTTCTATTCCAGCAATGAAAGCCTTAGGGATGGTTTTGGCTTGTACTTAAGATAAGTGGACAGTTGGTTTGGACGCATAGGTCCGCGTTTTTGCTCACTTAATTGATTGATTCTCCTTATACGATACACAATTACCAATAAGCTATAATCTCTGCTAAGTTACGGTAATTGTCGTCCGCCTTACCCATAACTCATCACTGGGGAGGCTGTACTTCGTTTTGTCGAAAGTGGTAGAATTGTTGACACGTTTATTTGGAAAGTATGAAGGATGATGAGCTACGAAGTATGAGCGTATTCTGGTGTTTATATAATAATGTCCGACTGTCGCATTCATATATTTCGCTAAGAAGGTTATGACGAGTGCTAAACTGTCGATCTATTATGCAATTACACGGATGTTTTGTACCAACTGTCTAAAACAAGAGAATTAGCGTCAAATCTAAGCATAATACATGCACAATACATTTCAATATGGCATGATGTAGGATAACGTGAGTATTCTCGTCAACGGACATGCGGGGGGGGGGTTATACTCAACACATAAACAACACCATTTATTGATGTGGCAACTTCACTTTGGAAAATGACGCTTTCGATCTCTTTCCACTCAAGGTAGACAGATATTTGGATGCGCTACAGAAAAAAGCTGTACAGTTCAACTGCTTTTTTATCGAATAGATGTCACGTATCTGTCATAGCAAGATATACAAGCCAAGATTAATATATTTAGCAAGCGGAACATTTGAATGACGGAATGGAAACAGAGATGGCTGTTATCTGCGGTGTGGATCACTTGTCGTTCGGTATTATGTATTGAGTGATGAGACCGGTACTCTACCCCATCTCGCCCAGTCCGACACTATGTTAAGTCGATTTTTACATAGGTGCATCTTTGATTACGCATTCGTTTATCAGCAAACTTGAGATGGCCTAGAGCCACTTACTGATCGTTCATGTTGTGGTGTGGCGTGCTCGTCTCAGCGACAATATTGATGTGCTGCCGAGTTATGATTGGTGGACTGAGAAATTCCTTCATTTTAAATCCAAAGCCTTCTAAACGTGAAAAAAGATTGATTATCAAGGAGTGCTACCTACACCTGTCTAAAGCGTAGGTCCTTTCCAACTTTTCAGGAAATGGGGAGCCCAACCTTATTTATACACAGGTTCTATTGTGGTCATAATCGTTGCAAATATGTTGCAGCTAAATGGCAGCAACAACGTCAGCCGTAAGTCGAATAAATTCGAGGAAATTTCTCGCGAGAGCTACAAAATAACTCGCCCTTTGAAGGAAAAGAAGACGGAACGGTTACCCTACCCGTGATTTAGCTACTTGTCATCCCCAAAGACGAAGCTAATAAGGAGTAAAGTCGATTGCAGGCCGACAACTACAGTACTAGTTCGTCCAAATGGATCGCTCACCTCTCTTCCTCATGCACATCGTTCGCGCAGAGTCAATGCTGATCTTGTCATGATGTGCGGGAAAAGGAGCAGCTGGAGCAAATTTAGACGGACTTTTGTGGGGTAGAGATCCAATTCAACAAAACTGGAGACTGTGGCGATCTTCACAACATGCGGGACAAGAAATCGTCCCTTCGTAACCATATTGTACCGGAGACGTCCCACTGGCAGACACGTCAGACGTGCAGTAGTCGGACATAATCCCTTCAGCCGCCACGAAGACGTTCCTCATGGAGTCGAATGGCCGTCCCGAGCATTCACGTACTACCCGACATCGTTCCCCTGACGTGCACGAACAAAGACCTGAACGTCTCACTGGCGACAGTGTATCGGATACCGAAATCTCACGTCGGCGCTGGTCTCACATGACCTTTCGGTCATCCGACCTCGTCGCGATGCCGTGGCTCGGGTGGTTGTTCGTCTACGCTTTCGCCCTCTTCTTCTTTTCCATCAGTCGGTGTCTGGCTCTACCGGCGCTGCTCGATATGTACGGAAGCCCGAAGGACAATACTGTAGTCGTGAGGGCCTTGGTGTTGAGCGTTGGCTTCCTGGAAGACGTCGTCTGCGCCACTTATTTTGCAACGATACTGTGGTTCTTCGACACCGTTCGAAGCTCGTTGGCAAAGCGCGCTTGGGCATCGAATGGAATGGCAATCAGAACGGCTGGAGCAATAGCAGCGTTTGTGATCTCGTGGCTGTTGTGTTTTGTCGTGATAGCTCCACCCGTCACGGACCTGATGCTCGTCGTGTACAAGCATATGAGGTTCTCGTTTGGCTTGTCGGCTACATTGTTTCGAGAGAAAGACCATCTCAAAGCTGCTCCGATTTCTACTCAGGAAGTCTACGCAGCTTACGGGACTGCAGGGTTCCTCGTTGTTATCGCCACCTTCTTTGCACTTGTGCGTGTACTAAGTAGCTGGGCTGACCTAGCAATGTGGAATCCGACGCAACTTTTGCAAGCGCCAGTGCGTTTCATGAACTCGAAAGCCAGTGAGAACACTTCAGCAGCGAAATCGGCACGGGGCGTGATGTATGAAGCAGTGGCTCTGGAGGATGAATTTGTTGATAGCCCTGCTGATGCAGAGACCACCGAAACCGTCTCGCCATCGAGTGGTGAAAGCGTGCAACGAAGAGTTAAGTGCTACTATGCTCTGCGAGCTACTACCGTTGTCTTGGGACTTGTGGTTCTCCCGTCGATGGTAATGGTACTTTGTAGTGCGTGCTCCCCTCTGGTCGCATATGTAGCGCTGAATGCAACGCTGAACGAGCTGTTTAGGCAGGCGTTTCAGCCTTCCCTCATATACGTGGAGCCTACAAATGTCAATGGCGAGCAGCCGTGGACAGAGAAATACATCGATGCCACAGAGCTGCATGAGCTTTACGGAAACAACACATTGTACCGACGCACTTCGGGCTTCCAAGGTGACCTGGCGTTCAACGTCAGTGTCGACGCCGCCGATCCGCCGAACGTGCTGATCATTGCAGTCGAGTCGTTTCGGTTTCGCGATTCGCGCTATCTCGTGGGCGAAGAGGACCCGTCGGACTTGTTCAAGAGCACGAACATGACGATCACTCCGAACTTTGATCGATGGGCAAGACGCGGCGTGGCGCTACGCAATATTTGGTCGAGTTATCCCACAAGTCGCTCGTTGGAAAGTATCCTGTTTGCACAGGTTCCTTACCAAAGCAGTGTAAAGACTGGTATCACTGGAGGAAGGATGTTCACAGAGCTTTCAGGTGTGCCGCAGCTCTTCGCCGGGAAAGGGTATGAGACGTTTTTCACCACAGGATCTTCTATAACCCTGGACGACTGGACTACATTTCTCACGTACCATGGCTTTCGTACCGTGTGGGAAGTCAATGAAATGAAAGCGTTGGCAGAGCAAAAGCTCGGTATCCGTCGCCGTGACTGGGAAGGTAACGAAAAGCGAGGATTCTACTGGGGCGTTCACGACGATCTTAGTTTTAAGCTTCTGGGCGATTTATTTGTGGAAAAGAAACAAGAACAGAAAGAGAGGTTGGCTCGAGGAAAGTCGAAGCTGCCTTTGTTTCTGACACACTACACTATCTCGAGTCATGGGCCATTTGAGTGGCCGAAATGGTATGAGGATGCCGACAAGCCTGATTTCACCGAGTTGCTTGTAGGAGAAAAGCACACGGACAGAATCGAAAGTTACATGAATGTGAGGTACTTTACTGATATGGAGTTGGGTAAATTCATGGACCGTATGGAGACGGAGGGTATACTTAACGACACTATCGTTGTCATCGTTGGGGACCACGGTCAAGGACCTGAGAATAACTTCCCGAACTCAATGGAGGAGTCGATGACACGTGTGCCAGCTGCCATCATTGCCGAGGGCCGACTCGGTGATGATGTGGGGACAGTGATTGATGATGCTGCAGAGCATTACGACCTTCTCAACACGCTTGCCGATATCACGGGATTGCCAGAGGGAGGGTTGCAGCAAGATGGCGTCGGGCGATCTCTTAAACGCAAGATCCCATTTGGTAAACGAGCAGTGTACAGTAACGATCCTTTGCGAAGAATGTCCATTGTCCGTGGTCATCAGCGTCTCCGATATGACGAAGTGAGCGAGGGTATGATGCTGCATGACACTGAGACTGACTACCACATGACTACGGATTTACTGCCAAGTCTGACCGCCAAGGAGCTGGCTGAATGGATAGCTATGCGAGACGATGGTCGTCGCATTGCTGCTTACTACAAAAAGCGCTGGGATGAAGATTGCTTGCTTGCTGTTGAGTGCAACCCCTGATGCTCTTTTGGTGCATTTGGAATCGCTTGGCTGTTGCAACGAATTGACGGCAAAGCCACGCGCCACATCGATCGAGGTTTGAGCAGCGTTGGTTGATGGGAGTGAGAGAGTAGGCTAGGAGGAAGGAGAACGGAACAGAACGGTGCATGGTACCAGCAACGGATTGCATCACTTTCAGCATGTAAACTAAACTGCCCGCCATGAGCAAGACGGAGATAAAGAACGATGCAGTGCTCAAAAGCGAGTATGAACGGTACCTGACCGTGTTGTCACTACTGGGGCCGACATAAGCCCTTCCACCACAGCCAAACGGGGTCACTAAAGCAAGGCCTCACTCTTTTTTTCTTGCAGATGACTTTGTTATAACCGCAAATTTACCAATAGTATCGACTCGAAGTGACCTGACGCACCAGCCATTTGCGGAGAACGTAACAACATTGGAGCGTAATACTACTGTTGACACCAGCTCTTTCTCCTGTGGTTATGACTGACAGAAGACATGCTCACATTACAAATGCTCGTGAGGTACCAGGAAGTTGGTCGGCTGGATACAGCAGTCTCTGACTTCAGCAGGCTAGTCTACGCATTCTATGCATTCTTTGCTCTATATGCTACATTGCTGCAAGCTAGAGCTCCATTTCAGATTCGGTGATACTAAACCCATTTCCCCTCCAGTCATATTCTTATGCTCATCAGCTATCTGAGCCAAGCGCGATACCCATCGTGAGCATAATGCAAAGCAGATAGCACAGCGGCCCGTTAACACTAGACCTGTTTTGTGGTCTATAGGACACGAAGATGGGATAGAAAGAAGGCGCAAACCATATCATGGGAACCCGTACAAAGCGCGGTAGGCTGCGTACTTTTGCAGAAGTCCACGAAGCACGTATTTGGTGCACTACCAACAACAGTAGAGGAGCCTTTCATACACTGTCGTCGAGATTTGTCGAACAAAAAGCTCATAAGGCCCATACACACAAGAACGGAGACGAAAACGCACATTCAATACTACAAGTTGTCAAGGTGTCGATCGGATGCGACGATTGGGAGCTCGAGTAACGATTTCATTGAATAATAAATGGAATCGAAATGCCCTTTTCGATAGTAACAAGTGTGCAAGTCGAGGAGAAAGACGAGCCCTGTTGCAACCGCAGACTCCTCAAGTGCTGTCGAGCCAGTGACACGACACTGTGGTACCGCGGGGATACCGGCTCCGAGACGCTAGCTGGCACACTTGCGCAGTGCGGTGCCAATAATAAGTATACAAAAGTGGTGCGCGCTACATATCGCTCCGAGTTCGCTTCATCGCAACTCATCCGTCATATTCGAATTGACCAATTAAGTACGTTGGTCACGCCGTTTCTACACAGCACATCTTCGTAAACCAGGTGCTTCGCAGGGAGAGGTGCGGTAGATAGCGACATGGCTGGTCGCCGCGCCTTTGGGGATACAATGCTTGAGGGCACCAATATTGCGTAAGGGTAGTCAGATCGCATGCGACACATAAGTTCATTACGTGCTATATCATTATTCGATATAATTCTATGTTAGCATTTATTGTCGAAAATGTTAGTGAGGATAGATGTTTGGGAGCATGTCTTCAAACGAGGAAACATTACTTCATTGAATGCTCTATGAGGGGTAATCGACAAGAAACAACCCTACAGAATTTTTTAATGCATATGTTGTTATTGGAATATTGCATGCATTACAAGAAATTTAATATAAAAATTTTCCGACATAATAAGCTTCGGCTTATCTAATTGATCATTTCAACTACCACAAAACACGTGACACAATCAAGTAGGCTTGCATGAGGATTACATGTAGATATTATATGTTTGTCGAAGAAATTCACACAGCTATTTAAATGAAGTGGTTTTACAAGATAATTTGTAATAAAATGAAGGCGACAAAGTTCGATATAAATGATAGATTGAAATCTAATAATGCACAAAAGTCGGCAGAAACTCCACATTTCACATAAACGTGAGGTTAAAACAGAAACGTATCGTAGCAAAATGATATCGACCATTTTTATCAAAATTACTTACATAAGAAGCTCACTCAATACACATTCCTAATTATGTCCCACGCACTTTTAACTCTTGTCACGCAACGACACATAAGATACTTTAGAGATTACACAACTTCTCTTTACACAATGAAGTAGATTTGGTGTGGCAATGCGCAATAACTTCGTTGTAGAGCTGCATATAATAAGCATTCGAGAAGGATTAATCGTGCCAAACTGTTCTATATCCGTATATTATTATTATGTAACGTACTGATTTCGTGGCCAGCAAAATCTTGGCCTTATGATACGAATGCAATCACCAGTATTTAACGTAATTGCATAAGATCGAACGTGCTTTTGGTGTAGCATTATTATAGATTCCATACCACGCAATATTTTTTGAGCATAACTAATACCAAAGTATTGTTGAATAACGATTTCGATCAGATGTATTTGGGGATGTTTGATTAAAAGAACACCATGGGCACTAGTTGCTATAACTGACATACAAAAGACACGGTCACGACCGGAAAGTAACTATGATCTATAAGAAGAAGACGAAACAAACAGTTGTGCTAATCGAGATCAGTTCAACATGGATAATCGACATTGGATGCATAATGACGGCACATGGCACACCTCATTATGCTTCGAGACATGATTAGTAACAGGTCATAGGTTTTGGTTGTTACACTGAACACTGCTTTTTTTGCTACTAATTACACGCCTGAAATTCTCTTCCGGGATAAATTATTGGCCAACAGACGTCAAAAAAGAATGTTTACTTTGGTCAAGTAGTATCTTTATATGATCTACCAGGGGTCAATAATTAACAACCAAACCTAAACTGTGATCAGACGCAGCTTTAATGACAACGACAAGGCCTGAGTTCGCAAAGTGGCTCATTTGACCAGGGGTTAAGTGTTTTAAGTATTTTAGCATTTCAAGCATCCATACAATAAACAAGGTGATCCCGCCAAACCGGGGAAGCTCATACCAAGTGTCTCACCCAGACATAATCCCAATCAAGTGAATATTGCGGCTCGATCAATTCCACCCCGGCCAATATCAACCACCTTTACTTCGACATTGACTCATGTCGACGGATAGGATTCCAAACCGCCCTGACGAAGTATGTACAAGTTGAACAATCCTCTACGGGCAAATAACACTGTACCATCGCCGATATCCCGTCGATCGGGCACCTGACAGGAGTCGTGATAACATATTTAATTTGTGAAACCCACTATACCATTGATGTGGTGAATAACGCTAATCTTTGTTATATATCCATCGATCGCGAAGATAGAAATGTACGTGGTAATGTCAGAATATTCGCAAACGGTTACAAGCAAACAACAATAATTAAATGGATTACGCCAGCATAGTTTGCAGGGGAAAAATGCATCATATGTGCTTTGTTAAGTTGTAGAACAATTCTATAAACGATTTATTGTATCATTAAGAATAAATTATCAAGAATTGCGGTTAGTCCTTTCCCGACAATCATTTCGCGCGGCTAGCATTATAATCGTAGAGGATACTGGTTACATTGTGGCCTGTGTATGAAGATTAGTGGAAGGTGAACGATAAACCGCATTGTTTTTTACGTGATATGCGAATCAACACTTAAGAGCATACTTCGCTTCTGCTTGACGGACTAGTATTCATATTTCTGAATATCTACGAGCATTTATTTATGACAGGCCTTACAATAAACGAGTATGGCATGTCTTTCACCCCGACGTATCACACCCTGATCAATTTTCTTATATGTTCGACATGAAGTAAACTATGTCAAGTTCCTTGAGATTCTCGTATACGGAGGAGAATAATTAGGATGAAGCAGCTTGTTAATCTACAAAACAATTTCCGTATGGCATTAATCATGCGGGATCGGAGTAAAATGGAATCACGCAAAGATGATCAGGCTTCTAGTGAGGATCATCGATTAGGGGGACCCGGAAAACACACAAGTCTTCACGCCACCCTACAAGGCTTACTATATGACTGGAGCGTGGAAGACAGTGTAGACACAACTGATTTGCCATAAATCGTTTGTTTTGAGAGACATTCTAATTTAATTGGGTTCGACTAATCATATGGGATCGCCGTCGAGCCTAATTTGAGATTATCAAAGCGTGACGAAGGAGGTAACCATGGTGAATAGGGATATCTACCTATATTGAAATAGGCAAATGTATCATAGTGTAACGAGCTAAGTTTGGCGACTAACGTGATGCCGTATCTTAATTTTGCACGCGGTTTTATATATTGACAAAGGTGGTGATGCTTATCGTGTATAATATTATACTGTAGATAAATGCCAGTAGAAAAAAGGTGCTGTTGTAAATTGAGTATCGAATGCTCGAGGTTAAACGACTAAACAGTCGATTGACTTCGTCTGTCATCATTAGAAACAGCTTCTGACTCAGTGTTGCTGTGAAAATTTGTCGCTCTTTATCGATTACATCGCGGAAAAAGTAGGCAAGCTAATGCTTAGCTTACAAATATGTGAATACATGTGTAACCTTAACGCGTTTGGTGTACAAAAGGAATCGATTAAAAATTAACTAACAAATATCCTAGGTCGTCTCTGAACCACTGCGAATGTGCGACCAATATGCATCGGTTGTCAAACAAGACTTTATTGCTGTGCCATCTTAGGCTGATAATACGTCAGTATTTGTTTGTTGTACATTAGTCCGTACACCTTCAAGATACTTCATTTGCACTAACGGAAAAAAAACAGGCATCTCCATTATTATACTTACTAATTTTTTGCGCGACCAGTGCAGAAAGTTCATTTAAATGATTGATTATGATTAGATGATAGGCTCTTTTACACAGCTATATATATGAGACAACAATTGATCTATAGAATTGATCAATAGCTGATATGTATTTGATCTTATATATTCATGCGAAGTCATAATTAACAAAGTGAGGCAATTTGTACGCAACCAATCACGGCGTGATGGTT